TTAGCCGGACACCTGTTGGTCAGCGAGGAAACGTTTAGTGGAAAGTAGGGCACCGGGGTCGCCTCGAAAATCGTTCGAGCGACGTTCGAAGCCGGATGGCGGCTAGCGCGGACAAGTTTTTCTCTCCGAGTTGTCCACAAAAAGCGAAATAGAGAGAGAGAGAGAGAGAGAGAGAGAGATACTCCGAAGCATTCAGCCTCACAGTAGAGAGCATAGGAAAAGTGCACCTTAAAAGTTGCAATGCGAGGACACCACAGCCAGTATCGCATCCTGGGTACCAACCAGCACCACAGGCTTGGTACCGTTTCCACACAAATAAAAACGGACCCACTGATGCAGGCTTGAATAGATACCCATTTACCGAGACACACTGGTATGCTGCACGAACAGAAACACTACCTTAACGGGACATTAATTCCGTCTGGTCTCTTCTTTTTTTCTTTCTCCGGTCGTTGTTTTCATTAAATTACTGGTGAAAGTTCGTACAGCTTTTTCGTCAGCGATTGATCGAAATTAAATTAGTAGTTTAGTAATGGCTTGGTACACGTGTACGTGTCTAATTTCCACAGTCGTTACGATTCTTTGTTGAAACTTGTCAGTCATATCTGAAGAGAAATATTGTTTATCCGCTTCTGTAGATCAAATTGAACAACTCGCTGCTTTTCTTTGGAATAAGTTTAAAATGGTCCAACTATTGTCACTGATAAATGAAACAAAGTGAAACGATGATACGTGAGAAAGAATGAACGTAACTGGTTGAAATCTAGTTGATAGAATGATGAATTAAGGCCTTGTATTTCATACGTAAAGTCAACGACGGACAACAAAGAAATTTCTATATTCTCATATTTTTACGAGATGTAGCAAAAATTTGCTACTATGCGTGAAGAAGATTCAAACTAGAGAAAGGCAGCAGAAATATTTTAATGTGACGACAAAAATATTGGAACGTCAATACTCTTGTTTGACAAAGAAGATCTCGTACGAATTTTCCCTAATATCCGACACAATAGAATCACGACTCTATGAAAGATCAAATTTCTTTACAAATTTGTTTTTCTTCTAATTTACCCTTTCTTTCTTTCTTTCTTTCTTTCTTTCTTTCTTTTCTTTTCTTTTCTTTTCTATTTTTTCTTTGGTGTCTGGAATTCTACTTCTCGAGTATCGACACACCAATACTGCATGTAGTTTTTGACACAATGAAACTAGCATGAATCCCCGTGTAGCTAGAATCACAGAACTGAACAGTGAATTATTATATTTGTTGTCACGTGAAATAGAAAGTTCTTTCGAGATTTCTCTCAACCTGATCTGATTGTCTATATACTCTGCTATAAGTGGATTAAACTTGTCGCAGAGAGCGCGATCCGAAGTCGCGTCTGATCGATCAGACGTTGTGGTCGACGTAGATCAATCGGATTTCTCATGATTTCGAATATTTTCCAAAGACATGGCTAAACAGTGGATCGACATTGTCACTGTTCGATACAGATGTTCGTGAACTGTTTCACGATCGATATCGCCGATACAAAAAAATACAATGGAGGACAAAAGAAAGTGTAAAATTGGCTAATCTAACTATTATTATTAATTACTACGTAGGTATTTCTTGTCAATATTCTGTTGCAACATGTTACTATCTTGTCTAAATATATTACATTTCAGAAAATTCCGAATGATCCCGTGTTATTTGCTTTTTACACTTTCTCCTGTCCTCTGTGAGATACAAGTGAAATGAAAATGGATCGTGAAAGAGTTCAAATTACCATTGAACGTGGAAGCCTCGATTCTTCGACGTTCGGTGCTCTATCGTTTTCTCGCTCGCTTGAAATCGTTAGAATATAAGTTCCAGAACATCTTTTGGAAATAATATATATTGACACTAGAATTATCGATTTGCAATCATTCGTAGATTTTTCAAGGATTTGAATGATTTATAAAAGCTTGTTCTCTACTGTAGTGTAAGTACAGTTTTTAATCACCTGTAGTTTCTCCTAGATTATCAAATTTTTATACTTCAATCGCCGATGATAGTGTTATAATCAAATCTCGATTTCTCCCAGACTCGATATACAATTTACATATTGTAAAAGAATTTTTTCTCACTATTTAGAATTGAAAGTTTTAATCAATCCTTGCGCTGATGAATTTCGTGGTCCATTCGTATCTCCTGATTTGAATTTCATTCAATTATCTATCAATTCCAAGCGAGCGATTAAAGAGCTTGGTGTTAAAACTGAGCAAGTCTTGATTTTGAAATTGAAAAAAAAAAATTGAATATTTTCTTTGAACAATCACTGTACTTGATTCTCAGTCGAATTCGTTTGATTCTTCGAATAAAATCATACAAAACTTCAACAAGTAGCTACAATTATTTTATTAGAGAAATGAAACAGACTTGCTCGTTCTTTGCTTCAGGATCTTTAATTTAATTCCGAAATAGTATCATCGAGTCATTGGCGACCATAGCGATTTAATTTATTTTTAAATCATTACCTGACAATCGACGATTTTGAAGCTCAATCCCATTACATTATCGCCACAAAGTACAAAATGAAACATCAAACTTTATCGATATATCTAATCAGTAGTCATCAGTGACCCAACGATACTAACCCCGAGAGAATGTCGATGCCCAAACCTAAAAGACCTCTTCCAAAATTACTATCGTCTCGAAAAATTGCCTGCACCGAGCCGACCACAACCAGACGTGGCCGTGGATCGCGTACAACGCGCGTCTAACCAAATCTCTTCTCTACTTGCAGCCTGCTTAAGGAAGCTGAACCGCTAAGTATGGATAGTAATCGAGACATCTCGGAAATAAGTACTAATAAGGGAAGCGCAGGATTCCCAGGGAGCGGCGGCGGGAGCAGCGGGGCCGGTTCCGGTAGCGGAAGTGGCGGACAGTTCGATTCGGCGACGTTGGAGGAGAGACAGCTACTAGGGAGATATGGTGTCTGGCTGCTAGTGGGTCTTTGCACCCCGAACCAAGACACCTCGATCGAAATACTCGGCCGTTTATTGTCAATGCTATTTCATTGGTTTCATGTTACTGCCTACTCTTTCGATGGTACTAAAAAAAGCCTTATGCACCTTATCTTTTCTGTTGGTAATTTAACACTTCGCATATTTATACACTTAATGAACGTAGAACGTAGATGAGCGGTGGATGGGCGGCGGATGGTCTTGGACGACGTCGCGATGTCGCTTCGAGATTTTTCGAAATGGAGATGTTGTGTTGCTGAGCAGACCGGTCTCTCTGTCTTTGAAATTTCCGGAGAATTTGTACTTTTTTTTTTATCATAGTTTGTTCGATCTATCTTGCGGCTACAGCGGATGTGCGTTGACTTCTTAGACAAGTACACCCTTGCTCAAAAGCCGTGACGACGAGTGCTACAATGTTGAAATTGAAACGATTCTACAAGTTAATCGAATTACTGAAAATATTGATTTTGCTGAAAATAATCGATTCAGTATAACTGATTCTATTAAAAAAGGAAATTCAGAATTTTATTAGCTATTAGGTAAATACCAATTATTGGAAATAAAAGATGTCCTTATATTCTTTTCTTCGAAATTAAAAAGTACGATTAATCTCATACATCTTAGTATATATATTAATGATTATATTATAGATATCATTTCAAAATTTTAAAGTGTTTGCTATATTGTTACATAGAAATTGCCCTTTTGAGCAAAAGTGTACAACAACAAAAAATACGTAAATTCTTACAAATATAAGCACTTTGGTCTTCACAAATATTTTCTTAAGAACGTAGCATTCGCTGTAACTATAGTTTCTTCAGTTCGAAGCGACACGAGACTCGAGCGTCTCGAGCCCATCACTATAGACCGTAGGTAGTCCTTGGCCGCGATCGTAGGCACATTCGATCGAAAACGCCGAACTTCCCATTGGTTTTCGTTCTTTTTCTTTCGCTTTGTCTTCAGATGCTTTCAATGCTCACATGTGACTGTACCCCGTGTTTTTACACTCGACACGGTATTCAACAAGTTAGACAAAGTGGTAATCAGAAAAGAACGAAACAGACGGAACGAATTATTCTTACGATTAGGTAAAGAAAAAAGAAGAAGCAAAAAAGAAAAGACATTCATACGTTTACACGTTTGTCAGTGTCTCGACAAAAGCTTGATCGTGAACACTAACACCGTTGTTCGACATGTTCTAATTTGATTAGCTTTCAATGTTGTCTCCCTGTTTTTCTCTTTCTCTGTCTCTGTCTAAATTCTCTCTACTTTTGGTGTCTATAAATTGTACCAGTAAATCAGTGTATTCGATGTATTCCTGTGTCCAACTCGTTGTCGTAGAGGCGTCAGCTTCGCAGCTGTTTCCATCTTGTCTCTTTGATCTTTCTATACATATTTCACGTCTATACTGTTTCAGTCTGTTCCCTCTTTGTGTAGTTCGCAATATACATATAGAACTCACAGATAGAATTTGTATTTTAATGTTGTCCTCTCTCTTTCTTTCTCTTTTTCTCCACGTCATGGGAATTGGAATCGTTTAAAATCTTGTCTTGCCGATGTATAAATTCATTGAAAATATAAATGCCCAAGAGAGACCATACGTGGATTAAACGTGATGCAAGGAAAAACAAGTTAAACAGGCAAAATTTGCATATAACTTGCGTATAACGGAGGCTAATTTATTAACGTGACAAGACATTGATAAGATTTTTCAACTAATTCTGAGTAAACGATAAAAATTTAGATTGAATTTTGATTACATCATATTCTTCGTATTAAATAATATAAAATTTTTAACTATTAAGCACATCAATAATGTTGTCACTTTAAAATATTATCAAAGCGGCCTGGAATGAGAACTTTCAAAAGAAGTTGTTTAAAATAAGGGAAATTTGCTTTCGGAACAACTTTGTGATTGCCTAGAAACAAATTAATCCTCAAGTAAATAAATGAAAGTTTCATCGTCGCGACAAACTAGCTTTATTTGTTCCTTGCATCGCTTGCAAGAATATAAAAGTAATATTAACATTGTCACAACGACAACCTGCTAGGTTGACGCCTATGCGTTAAATTGCCTTTACGTGTGCATGCCACACACATACACAAAGAGCCTTCTCTCTAAAATCTCAGAAACAGAAAAAAAATGAGAGTGCGTCTGCGTCGCGGCTGATCGAGTCTCTGAATGATCGATGCATAGGATCTGAGGAAATTCCGACGCTGTCGCAAATTGTTACGCTCCGCGACGCTGAAAGAATATCGCACCAAGTTTCTATGCATCGAAGTAGCGATCCCTCATCGAGAATTGCCGCGAAAAGAAAAGAAAAAACCAAAAAAAAAAAAAACACGCGAGTTCGCGAAGAATTTTCAAGACAAAAATACAACTCGATTGTTATTAAAAAAAAAAAAAGAAAAAATTACTTTGATTGGATCTTTCCCGAGTCGGGTTGTCAACATGTAGAGATTTAATGATACTTCTCTCGCATGCTGTTGAAGTAACACCGCTAATATGTACATACAGTAATTCAATGGGCTTTGTACTTTCCCTGTATCTTTG